CTTTTTTTTTTTAAAGTTCCGACTTTAAATAGCTGTAGGGGTATTACATTGTCTGCCATTACTTGGAGAAAAAAAAATGGGCGGAGCTCTGACACCACGGCTCATTTACTCTTCGCCCCCAAGGTCTAGGAATAGTTTTCCAAGCTGCCGTGTTACAGTAACTTGTTTTTTTGTTTTTTTCTGGGTGCATCTGAATTCCAAAGGGGAGTAATCCACATCAAATATTTATTATTGAATTTTGAGCTCTGTCTGGAGGTCTCCTTTAACACGGATGTAGCCCCTCCCATGCATTTTACCCAACCTTCCTCTAGGTGCTGACTGCTAGGTATGCAAACCTAGAAAAAAAAAGAATATTAATTTGTACAAAAATGCAAAATTCTAACCTTTTTAAAGTATGTATATCATTGAAATAACTTTTTTTTTCTGTTAAGAAAAATCTTTATGTTGTGTTTTTGTATAATGTTTAATAACTCCACCCCCCTTCCCGGTCTCCCGTTCACCCTGTACATAGCATTATATATGCAGGATTGACAGTATTAGCCGGTCAGGAAAACGGGGACGATAAAGTGAAAACAAATAATGTCTGCAGAGTTTTTATATATATTCAGAAAAAAGATATATATGGACTTGCTGTAGTTTGTGTGTAGACGGAGGAGTCCAAACGCGTATTTTTCGAGGTACGGTATACCGCTCTCCTTGTTAGAAGGGGATTCTTGTATATCAATTGTCCTGTTGGCAATTAAAGGCTTACCATTGGTAGAAATTAGTCGTTGATGTAACAAGGTCACATCCCGGGTTAGTTACGAAATTCAGAGGTTTGAATTGGAAAAGCTGCCCGGGTCGTGTTGGAGGAGGCAAACGCGTCACCGACCATAAGCAGCCAATTGGTTCACCAGAAACCAAACGGTTCCTCGATGGTTCCGAGACAACTCGGAAATGGTGAAGTGAAAGGCCACCTTGAGGTGAAGACGGGAACTTGATGGTCAATAAAACGTAGCCGAACTCCGACCCAAACTTTTTTTTTTTTCCCTTTTAAGATTAGGATGGACTTCGGGAAAGTCAGTGCAACTCTGTTGGGGGAGATTGCAGCAGGACAAGAAGTGAGAACGGTAATCACCGGGACAGGAAAACGCACAGTGTACAGGTCCAAGAGTGAATAAAAGTGTCAGAATCTGTGTCACAAAAACCATCCAACATGTTTCGGGGGACAGGCTGCTCCCCCCGTCATCAGGGCTGGGAATATTGTATGTAATAAGACCTGGACTCAAATAGGTGAACAACATGTTTTGAAAGTTTGTTGTAAACTTAAATAAAACATTTAAATTGAAACAAAATGTAACTTCTATTAAAAAGTCCGTCTCTGGATCCTTTAGTAATTAGAAGCAGATAGGAGTTGCAGCACATCCCTAGAAAGTGTTTTGTGGCAGCCTGGAGAAACGTCTAATTCTTTCTCATGGCAGGAAGTGAAGGGAAATCTCTCCAAAGGGGATGAAGACTATAAAAAGAACCTAAAAGGGGTTCTTCTCCATCTCCTCTACTCTGCCCAACTCTAAAGGAAAAGTTCTGCCGGGACTTGGCCTTTAAGGACTGCCGAGTGAGACACATTTATGAAGTGGAATTTATTAGAAAAATATGACCAAAATGTACCATTGCGACTCCCCGAGTGGGTCTGCTGTGCAGATGTCTCCTAGAACAGGGAGGAATGAAGAATCTGTGATGTGAAATACGGAGGTGCCCTGGCTTATATACACAGAGGCTGCTCTGGGGGAATCAGTGGGCATTTACTGGTATGGCTATGTCAGCAAGGCCTGAGGGGGAATATTGGTGCAGAGGGCAACGGTGTGATAATGCACAACAGCCAACCGCAGATTGCTTTGAAGCTCATTTTTGTTAGGTCAACATGGGCCACCAAAACCTCATTCTATAGAGTGCTAGTGAAATCCATGGATTGGGGTCCTTAATGATTCACTACCTTAGAAAGGAACGTCAAAGCTTTTCAGATCTGGAGGAATGGAGGACTTTAGCAGTGCAGAAAATTCCAGGCAAGAAGTAAACTCCAAAAGTGTCATCAATGGCAGACAGTCCCATTCAGATTCTCTTTAAATCTGGCCATGCTCTGTTAGAATTTTGGCCGATTCCTGAGAATCACATGAAAGTCTAACCATGGGTGGCCCCGATGGCACCACTTGGGCCATCTCAGCTACAGTCACTCTTTGGGTATTCGGGTAGCACCTCACAAACAACAGCTGGCACCTAACGTCAGAGGTTTGTTGTCAGTGGAGCTGGTGCCTAAAATAGAATCCTGCTGGCTCCTGAATTCCATATGAATTTGTCCATCCCTGGTGTATGGCCATTTTTACTGTCCTACAGTTTGAGGCTGGAATCTCTTGTCATTCATATGCAACCTCCCACCATCAGATCATGGCAGTGACTCCTTTCTTTCTGAGCCACAACATTAAAGTGGTCATACACAAGCAGATACTCTCCCAAGGGCAGAAGTTATCTGACAGTCCTGAAGTGACCCATCTCCAGTTCCGGGACAGTCCTCCCCTGACAGATTCTGCCTCCATAAAAATGTGAGGGACCAGGACTGGTCAATTTTCTAATGAAGAAACTATTTTTGACAGAAGACAAATTCCTTTGCAGGCCTTGAAAATAAGCCGGGCACATCTCATCGGGGGTTTAACCTCCAGCAAGTCATTACGAGGCCCTAATCCCTCCACCCAGAACTTCTATAACCTCATAGCAAACACTGAAGAATTCTTAACTCTTTCTTAGTACGCGGTCAGGTGACCGTACTCCATGTTTATACGTAATATACATATTGTAGCTCTCGGTCTACATACACTAACCCATACAGCGCCCGAAAAGGCCAAATATGCCTGTAGGTATGTCTTTGAATATTAAAAAGCGTGGGTACCCATTAGCTTTATCTGGAGTGCGTATCGGATGTGGCACGGTGATCTCTCTCCACCGTCCCAGTCTCAAAAGTCAGAGGACTGCGACTTCCACGCATGGATTCCTCTTTGTGATGGACGGCAACCTTGAGCTGTGCCCTCCACACATCCTCTGAATAGCGTACGGTGCCAGCAGCCCTTCAAAACTGGCAGATGTAAAAACGCATCTTGACGATTCCCTGCGCTTGTACCGCAGCGTCGGCGCTAACTCCCAATGAACCAAGATGGCTGCTCCCTCATTCGTAACGGCTCAGATCGGCCCTCCAGTCTCGTTGGCCGCAAGAAGCAGGTGCAGGATGGAACAGTCCCAAAATACACACACCCGAGGGGTGACACAGAGCAAGATTTTACACGGGCCACCAGCCTAAATATAACCAGCTATTAAAATATCTGCGTTCCATACTTCCTATTTCACGTGTAAACAGAAGAAATTAATTCCCGTTCGCGGCAGAGATCGGGGCAGAGGTAATTGGCGTTTGTCTTGGCAGCCGTACAGGACGCAGTGTTTGGTGTGGCGGGGTCAGGATGTGTGATCATTTCTGGAATAACCTCTTGTACCTTTTTTTCATGACATGAATAAGAAGAAAAGCATTAAAGGGGTATGATCAGAGGGGCGCACAGTTTCCTCCGCACAGGAAGCGGAGTGACAGATAATTAGCGCAGGTAGCGGTTTCGCCTCCACGGCGGGGTCAGGCCGCGTCTCCTCTTACAGTAAAAAGCCGGTCCGCATGTCCTGGAAAGGACTCTCGTACTCTTCCCGCTCTCCTCAGTCTCTGTTTACTCCGGTTCATTTAACAGGATTACCCCGCGGTGCATCCGCTCCGCCCGAGGTCAGGAGGTAAACAC